TTTTTCTCTTTCTTTCATCCTTCCATTTATCCACAGCTTTCTTCTCTATTTTGGTTTCTAACTTAAAATCATATTTATTTTTGCAAGAACATAAAAAAAATTTCAGTTGTTGCAAGGATGTGATATATCGGTCACATCTTAACTGGTTCTTTAGCTTTAGATCGAGATAATGCGAAGTGATGGGTTGGTTATTAGGGGGCCAATTTTTTGAGTTCTAACCCTAAAAAAATCAACGAGTCACACACTAAGCATAGCAATTTTCTCAAATGATTAATCGAATTTTTATTCAACCTTATAGAATTAAAACTAGTTTTGAGAAAAAGAATGAAGAGGTCTAGCTTTCTAAATTATATAGAAGGAAAAGTCAAAGTTTATTTATTATTCCTCGTCTATAAATATCCAATTTTTTATGCCTAATACACCATAGATAGTTCGAACTGTATAGGAACAATAATCAATTTTAGCTCGAATGGTTTGTAGAGGAACCCTACCCCTTCTAATCTATTCGACGCGTGCAATTTCTTTTCCGTCGATACGACCTGCAATTTGGACTTGAATTCCCTTTGTATTTGTTTGTTCAGTTAATTCAATAGCCTTTTTCATTGCTTTTCGAAATGAAACTCTATTCTTTAATTGCCCAGCTATATATTCTGCAAGAATATTAGGGTTTCCATAAGGTTTTGCAATTTTTGTGATAGCAATGTTAAATTTTCTGTTCACAGAATTACATTTTTTTTGTAGATTCGTCTGTAATTCTTCGATTCCTCGTGGTTGATTACCAGGTTGCAACAAACAATTCAGGTTGCAATTTAGGTTGTAGAAGGAACTGCAATTATATATAGAACCATTCCCATTCGTTTTACTTTTCCACCTTAAAATTACCAGTATTTTTTGCTATGGTTTTGTATCTTGTCCTGATCTACTTGTTGTCAAACAGTAGATCAAGATGAATATCAAACTGGCAAGAAAGACTGATAACAATAGCGACTATGACCCGACTTTTACAATAGTGCAATGATAGATATCATCCTTTCTTTACCACCGCAGCACTACTAACAAGGCATAATCAAATTAAAATTTTTTTTGACTCTTTAGTGGTAAGTAGAGTCCTACACGAGTTAGTGTTCAACTCACACAACCATCGAAACCATTTGCATTTTCAATATCATCATCCTTGAAGCCATCATTGGTATTCTCACAATCATTATCGCGTTGTGCCTTAACGGAATCAATGTGCTCATTCAAAAAAGCTTTCTCACTATCCAGATTTACTCCAAACTCAGAAGAAAGTTGGTCTTGGATAGATTTTCAACTAGCAATGAACCAATCACAGTCCTGAAGGATCCCATAAAGCCTTTCGACAAGCCTTGGCCAATCAATTCCATCAACAAGATTAATGTTTTATGCAACTTCAGCAGATGCCTTGCCATTATTATCAGGGGGGAGGGTTGGCTGATCACCATCAGTAGCATCACCACCATCAATGATTTCCAAGTCAATAGCTTGAACACTAAATGAGTTATATGTTACATTTTTGTCATTAATTTTATGATTATTTTCCTCTTTATTTTACCAAATATTGTATTAATTGATAGATTCTACTTATATTTGGTGTTTTGTATTAATTATAGGGCGTTATAATAAAAACTGCTAAAAAGGGATGATTTTCTTGGAATTGATTGTCAACCGCAAGTTTTCTAATTCAAGATGAAGTCTACGTGGATTATTGACGGAAGATTAGGAAATTACCATTTTTCTTAAATATTTTATTTAGAAAACAATTGGTATTATTTTTGGAGTTATGTTTTTCAATTAGAATTCTAGTTTTAGTTGCTGAAATGAGAGGTCGAATTTGTTATTAATTGGTAGTCATTTAGGTTTCTTATGATCATCTGTGTGGGGACTGTCACAATAGGGAGAACGGCAGTTTAGCCTCTCAATTTGTCTTGCTTTTATTAGTTTTAGAGGAAAACTAATTGCAGCGAGGTTCCATGGAGTCTAGCGGAATTTCTTCTAGGATGCGTAACTAAATCTCCATTTTCTAATAAAGGAACAACGGAGGTTTTGGTTCATCTAAAAATTGTGAGATCGAATTAATTTTATTTATTACTCTTATTTACTAGTATTTGCATATTCTCTGATTGTAGTGCTTATGGTTATTTTATTAATTGAGTATTCTAAATCCGGACGTTGAATTAATTTAGCAATTTAATGTCAATTGAAGCGTTAAATCCGTAATTGTTTAATTACTCTAAAATAATGACAACTGGCATGATTGAATTTGTGTCAGGGGAATACGCGGGTTAATCTAAAATAACCGTGGTAGTGTGTTATTTGGATAGAATAGACCTCCTCTAATATGTAAGGCAATTAGAAAATTAAATCTTACGGGCGTACTTAAGATTATTTTTCGATTAGAGTAATGATTAACGGACGTACCTTAATCACCAACACAGTAAGGAGGAGTTGACTGTCATTATTTGTTTGGCAGTTATAATTTATTTATTAGTCAATAATTAGAATTATCTCTGTATCGATGATCAATTAGGTAAACTATTGCCGAAATTATTTCTTGACTAGAGTTTAGTTATTATTAATTTGGTTTTAATAATTTGTCATTTAATTTTTAGTTGACTATTTATTTTTATTTGAACCATTTAATTATTACCAAGAAAAACCCCCCTTTGTTAGTTTGAATTTCAAAAGAGACAAATAATCTCAATCCCTGTGGATTCGATCCTACTTATCACTCTCTACAGAAATTATATTTTGTTTGAATAGGTATTTATTATTGTACAAGTTTAACAGCCTATCAATGAGTTGTTTGAATCTGCAATGATTTTACAGATAGATCCCTCTTCGACAACACGAGATCCAAAAGTTACCCGGAACAATGGTATAACTTTTGCTATTGAAATAATGCAAGTTATAGCACACTTTGACCAAATGCAGAAATAGTAAACACAAAGCACGTTTGTGTTGTCTGTTAGCATCACCAAATTGCTAGCCCCCTCAACCAGCAACTTCTTACACTCTATCTCTGTTGTAGCTAACTGTTCTACAAGAGGTTTCATCGCTACACCAAGGTTTTCGTCCTACCCTGCATTCATTAAACCTGCTTGAAGTTGGTTTCAAAGAAGTAGATATTTGGAAATTTTTGACTTGAAGTTATTCCAATCCATCCTAAAAAGTCCTGCGAATAGCAAAAGTCATTCAAAAGCCAAGTACTTCCCAATTCTAATTGATATTCGGAACTAATGTCATGGCATGGCCATTCATCAATTACTAATGTGATTCATCAAATCTCAACAACAAACAACATTTAACTCCTGCAACACTTAACCGAAGCAAAATTAAGCAAAAGTCAAAAAGCAAGTGCTTCACAATTCTATTTAACAAACATCCAAACTGAATTCCAAATTTATTTCTCCAGATCAGTCAATTCCGAACTAATATCATGGCCATTCATCAATGACTAATTCATCAATCTCGACAACAAACAAATGACTTTCTAGATTTAACTCCTTGAATACTTAACCAAGGCGCAACCAATCAATAGATTAGAAATGAGATTCCGAAATTCATCAAAAGCATACTTAACCGAAGCAAATACTTCACAATTCTAATTAATAACCTTTCAAACTGAATTCTAAACTTATTTCTCCAGATCAGTCAATTCCAAACTATTTTCTTATGAGGGGTGATTAATAAAAAAATCCATAGAAGAGGCCTATATTTCCATTGATTCATTCTATTGGCCCCAAGCAAATATAATATACGGATATAATTGATTTTGAAAGGGTTGAAACCCATTTACACGTCAATTATTTTTTGCAAGTTCTTTCTTTTTTTTTTGTGGGAACAATATTGGAAAATTTTCTTCTCCTCAACGAGTATTGAGTACATCAATTAGACTTTGCATTTTACTCCTCATTTATTCTTCATGAAGACAAAACACACACATATCTTACATATATATAAAAACCTAAGCCTTCTTCTCCCACGTTGATCCACGTGGCAAAACATGGGAGAGAAGCAACTATTGTGTTTTTTTTTTCTAGCAATAACCTCATAAAGTGTACCCTGATCTAAGCAGTTGATAACTATTCTAGGGCATTTTTTTCCTTTTACTTAAAATTACGTGTTTGCCCTTCTAAACATAATAGGCTTCCAGAACAGTAGCTCATTATTTGGGCTGAATTTTGGTTTTTCACCTGCACTTTTTTTCCTGTTCATCCGCGTCTTTCCCTTCTTCATCTGTACTATCACTTTTTGCTTCTTTTGACTTTTAGTTTTAGCCTACCATCTTTCTGCTTCATTCCTGTTTCTTTTCCGTCTATTTCTTTTTCCTCGCATCAGACGAAAGGAAGAAGCTGCAGTTCAACTGCTTTAGCAGATGGTGTCTTCTCCTTTATTCAATGTCAAATAATTTTTTTTTTTTTTGTAATTTCTTGCTCAGAATTTGCTTACCCACAGGATAATTCTACTTGTAATGAGGAAAATGGGGAACTTTTGGTTAGACTAGGTTGTACTTCTTGGTCAAAAAATCTGCAAAATTTTCCCCAAATGATGCGTAGCCTTCGGATTCATCTTATAGATAATTCTTACAGGATGGCATTTTGGGGAATATTATCCTCCAACTACAGCCGACTTTGTAGCCATGGGGATGCTTTTCTTCTTTGCTTGACTTTTATAGATACATTTGAGTCTTGGTTTTGATTGTCAAAATTCATTTTTTTCCTATTTTATTAGTTTCAGTGTACCTGAATGTGTTCTTCTAAACTTTTAATACAAATTTAGCCCTATTTTTAAATATGATTACGACATGTTTTGATCCTTTCGATATTACTCTAATGACTAAAATAAATTCTTGAGTAATTTTTTTCATTCTCTAAACATTCAATGCATTGCTTTTTAGTTTTTTTTTTCTCTTCTTATTTTATGACTGGCGGCATGGAAAGTTTGTAGGAGAGTATTGGAGGATTTGGATTTTTTTTAATTTCCCGTCTCCAGAATTCTGTTCCTTCTACTTGAAGTTGGCTTGAAGGTAAGATTTTTCCCCTTTTTCTAACTCTTAAGAAATTTAGTGAATGACTTCTCATTATGGGGACAACCATTCTACTAAAAGCAATTTGTGTTCTTTGTTCTCTGTTTTACAGATGGCTAGCTGCCATGGAAGCAATCATTCTACTGAAAGCCATTTTTACATTTTCTTCTCCGTTGTACAAATGTTCATTTTCTTTCATGTAAAAAATAATATTCTAAGCAGAAGGTGAATAAATGCAATCCCCAGAAACTGGTATCTTCATTGTAAAGGTATATGAATTTTATACTTTTTAAATGGAAAGGATATTATGTAATTTCATTTAAGAAGTAAGGTTCTACCTTTGCTTCTTTATTCTTACTCTTATTGATTAAACATTTACAAATGCAACATAGTATAGGATCTTTTGATCATTTACAGATGCAACATACACTACATAGTATAGGATATTTTGATTTTCATTGGAGAGATGCTACTGCTAGAAAGCAATAATTTACGCACTTAATATTTTCCACATCTTGCCAGTAAACGTATTTGGCACGCTATGTTTACAACCTGATGACCAATGATGCAAGCAATCCACAAAAGTTTTTCAATTATACCACAAAATCACTGAACTTAATAAAATTTTCTACAAGGATCTCTAATATCGGATTTCTTTTCAGCTAAAACTTTAATCCTCTAGCTTAAAAATGCTTTTAAAAAATTTTTAAACTTAAAAAGAAAAAAGAATAGCAAATAACAACAGTATTTAGGTTGGTATTTCAATTAATAAAAATAAAAAAATAATGTTCATACCTAATATAATATTGTTGAATCAACATTTCTTCAATTTTAATAGGTGGGCGTGAGCTATGGTAAACACCTTATTACATGACATACATCTACATAAGAATTGTCACTACTTACAATTTAGGTGCTTTGAATTATATTTTCTACACAATAGGTTGGAAATTGGTTGTGCTATTGGATTTAGATGAATGATTATATTTATTTAGTCTGATCAGAATTTTGAACCTTTTCAAATAGGTAATTTATTTCTAATTTAAAATAAGAATTAGATACAATTGTGCCCAAGTTTAAAAATAAGAGTGTCAAGGAATTTTTCAATATTTGTTACACAATAGATTGGGCATTGGCTAGTATATATATATATTCGCACACGCTTGTCTCAAATTCATGTCATGAAAATGTAAGAGCACATGTTAGCATTTGAAGTGTTTCACAATTCATAAAACCAGGTACTCACAAATACAATCATGGGGCAGCTAGTCCATCGAACCTAATCCCAAAAAGCACGAGACTTTAGACCTATTGATTTTCCCATCATTTTATCTTTTGAGCTTTTTTGATAATGCGATGATGACCAAGTTGACATTGACTTGTGTGGGTGCCCAACGTACTACGCCTATGCTCCTTTTTGAATATCGCCGCACCGACTTCAAAGCCCCAAATTATGAGTAGTCGATCATAAAGCTGCATGACAAGATAAACAAACATTACAAGGCTTGAATCATAAGCGTGCAGGCCGATTATAATTTTCCGAGGTCCCAAAATTTCCAATTCATCTGCCTAACAAGAAATATAAATTGCAAAATAGAAGTTACAATTCTGGAAGTAAATGGAGCTATTTTGTACCAGTGTGCTGCTGATTGTGATGTATGTCAAGCTAGATTTGGATGAAATTCACACGTCGCTACGCACATTTGAGGTGTCTTCTCGTAGCCCACCACCTCTCAGCCAAAGTGAAATTGACATTTTCTTTGGCTTTTTATATCGTTTACAAACCACACGGAGAAACCCGAATTAAGGCCTTGTTTAGCAGCTAAGTTTTTTTTATCAAGTTTATCTGCTATAAATTCTTTAAAAACTTTAACTGCAATAATCTTAAAAAAATTTTCAAAATTTTTAAACTATATACTTCAAAATATTAAAAAATTTACACATTTTAAAAATTTTTTAAAAAATTCCTACAGTAAACTACAGTAAAGTTTTAGACAAACATCTAAAAAACTCACATGCTAAACCAACGAAGTCTAAGATTTATACAAATTGTGCAACGCTTGAGTAGTGCTACTGACAAGATACATCGTGGTGGTTTTTTTTTCTTTTTTTTTTTTGTGGGATAAACATCCTGTGTTCATAATCACATTCAGTCCTCTTTAATTCAGAATCAAGCGCTATCGGACCTTTTATAGGGTGACTCTCTCAACATTATATATTTTTTCCATTCACAACATTTAAATCTGAAAACTTATTTAAGGAATGTCAAACTCCTTGATGTTACTTCTAATATATCTTTATTCTTTCTAGGCCGTTAATACTCTTAAAATTTTAAATATTTTCTTGTGAAAATGACATAGTTAATAGCTTAGGTTGGGCTCCATGACATGTTTCGCTTGTTGGTTTCAGAACGATGACAACCAGCTCACAAATGACAAAACCAACAACTCATTACTTGCAAAATACAATCACGGAAAAAGAAACCTGACCAGTCGTATACTACTAGGACTACTGCAAAGAAACTCGTGTTTGGACGCGAGATTATTTAGAATAAATTATTTGAAATAATACACTATAATATCTTTCATTATTACATAATATATGTGAAATAAAAAAGATAATTGAAAATTATATTTATAATATAAGCGGAATAATATTTAAAATTTAGTTTTCAAATCATACCATCCAAACGGGCTTATTAATATTACTCGTTAAATGTCTCTCCGTGAAATCATGTGAATATTTGAGATTTGAAACTTAAACCCGCAAGCATATTTACAGTCATTACGTTTTACTAATAACTGTCGTCACATTTACAGTAAATTCTCCCCTATCCTAATCCCCGGAAATTTTCATTAGCTAAAAGAAACGGCTAATGCAGATAAATGCAAAGCCTCTTAGTCTATTCCCCTGTGATTTATTCATATTATTCCTTGTATTGCATCTGTTTCAAAATAATGCTTCAAATAATTAACACAATGATGGCTTTTTTCACCAAGCAACATGAAAGTTAGCTTTGCCAGTTTTGTTTCTTTTCTTCCACAGAGGAAAAATATTAGGAGGAAAAGAAGGCTCAGCTCAAGCAACAAAGTCACCATGTAATCTAGTTCGGCACTTTTGACTCTTACAGATCAGCAACCGAATACTACATTAATACGATATTGACTTTGAAAAAATAGAGTATTAAAATGAAATTATGCATATAACAGGTAATCATTGGCCTTGTTCTCGGTTGCTTTAAATTTTATAAATTCTAATTGTAAATAGTGATTATAGTGAATAATCAGAATCAGCAAAATTTACTCTTTGAATGAATATGCATTTTAACTTTTTTAGTAATTAAAAAATTTGTAATAAAAATAAAAGCAATAAAAAATATCATAACAACTGATTATCTAACATTAAAATTCATAATCAAACAAAACAATCAACGAGGACAAGCCAATTATACAGTTGTCTACTATTTTCAAGGGTCAGCTCATTTACCTTCCTATCAAACTATTATATTAATGGCATCAGCATGATAGTCGAGATTTAATTGATGACAGCACTAATTACTCTTTTGTTCTTTTATTATTATTTTGCAATCGTAGAAAGGTGACGTCGCTAATTATATCAAAAGAAGGGAAAAAAAAGTATTTCGGCATTGGTCTTGCATCAAATAGACAATAGGACCTTGGTCAAGGTTGTAGCTCACAATCTCTTTATAAACAGTAAGTTCAATAATGGATCGGTTGTTTTGTTCTTATCTGGAGGTTATAAATTATAAATAACAATAAATTCCGACATTAATTATTCGCCATTAAGCTTATAAAAAAAAAAATACTAGGATGAAGTACTAACAACTCGGAATGCCGATCCCCTGTTTTTTGAGTGTTTTTCAAAAATTAATTTTTCAAATACAATAAAAATTTTTAAAAAGTACTTTAAAAGGTAATCTAAAAATTAGTTTAAATTTTTTTAAAATTTTAAAAAATATCTCAAAATATATTATAGAAACTCTTCTACTCTTAAATATTCCAAAATATACTCTAAAAACAGTGCTACAGCAAAATTTTTCAAAAACACCCCAAAAAACAGCTAATCCAAATGGAGCCATATTTTTTGCTCCCCCTTGAGCTTTTTTTTTTGATAAGAAAACAATTGGAAAAAATTTATTACTGAGATTGCTGGAAATAGTCCAGCACGATTTGCTTGACAAAATTTGGAGGAGCATCCCAAGCTTTATTTTTGGAGGGAGATGCTCCCACTTGAGCTTAATACCAGCACTAACAGGTCGATGAAATAAACTGAAATGATTGTCAGGTTGGTTTTGGGGGATTCCGGATATAATTTTGCTATTAACATAGGGCGCGGCTGAAATGGAAATCTTTAAATAATATTCATAATTTTTTTGGGGATAATTATCCAATCTAAATAATGTCTGAAACGAAGCAACCCTGTGCCACGTGGTATGAATGCGGATTGGTGTAATTAGATCCCCGGACAAATTATCCACCAGGTGGAGAGATTGGGCAGACGATTCTAGCCAAGATTGGTTTTTCCGTTCTTATCTCATTTTTTTGTCGAAACAACTATATCTTAAACCAAACAAACAGGAGCAACTTCGGTTTTACCGATAAGGAGAATATTAATGCCAACCCTTTATTTGTTAACAGTAATCACTTGACATTTTTACCATATGAATTAGAAAAACACTTTCTTATTTTTCATTGAACTTATAACTATCACTTCTTATAAATCATTAAATTATACTCTTTCTCCGTCCCACTTTGATATTCCTTTTTTTACACTGTTTAAAAAAAAAATTAGTTAATTTTGTTGGAAAGCTAAATCCAGCCTACCATCTTTTTTAAAATGGCTTTATATTAATAGGAATATGACTAATTACTACCTTTACATTAATCACAACAATAATTGTATGGAAAGTTGCACCATTTAAGGTATGAATCTAAGCAATTAAGAAAAAGATAGGTTACACTCATAGATAACAAAATACATTAAATAAGGATATTTTAGAGAAATTATAAGTTAAGTATATTTTTCAATTGAAAAGTGGAATATAATTTGAAATGAATGAAAAAGAAAAATTGGACTATCAAATTGTGGATGGAAGGAGTAATTAAAATACTAAAAATGAAAATGAAGTGTATGAACGTTTTTATCCTTCTCATAAGTAAGTTTAATTTTTTTTTTATGTTTTCCGTAAATTTATTTTACAATCATCTTTTTACCTCATATACATTAAATTATTATAGTATAACTTTTTTATAAAAATTTCAAAAAATAGCAATCCAAAACAACTCTTTTTAATTTAGACAAATGTGCTATATCCTATATGTGGTAATGCATTTA